TGGCTGATTGGGTGGTTGCTATTGTAATTCAGTACTTGCATCGTGTTTGTCGTTTTCCTGACTACTTTAGTCTTTAAGCCACCACAATCTTTACGGTTCCGGAAGGGATTTATCAAAACTTTTCTTGAGTATGTTGCTGTACTTTTATAACAGAACGCAAAAATCTTCGTTTATGTCCTCTTAAATAGCATCAGAAATTTCTGAGATAACCGGTAACTTCCGACTTTGCCAATATCCTGAGTGTTCTCTTGAATATATTGGGTATTCGTGCAGTTTTCTTTTCTGAAAGGCTTTCTGTATATCAAATCCGCTCAACAGATCAGTATAGCAAGACCAAATATATGCTAAACTGCCATCTTGAATTTCCATCATGACTTTGCGTGAGTTCGGTCACTTACTGTATCTTTTTGATTTTTCTGTTTCCATTCAAAAAACGCTCACGTCCAGTACCCACCGGAGGATGTTTGGGGTGAAGTTACAATGCAGGTTGACGGAACTGGTCTCATTACCCTCCAGATGGACGTCGACTACAACGTTGAGTTCCCCGACATTCAAAAGGAGCCCAGAAATCCCGAGGATTTCAACGAATACCTGCGAAGCTTTGACATCGAGTGCACCCCCGAATTCTGGGGTAGAAATGCATCCTTCATGCGAATGACTGTCTGCGGCAAATGGGTTGGAAATCACGTAAGACTTCATTTCAAGCCTTTAGTCTCAGTAAATCTGGAATTATGTTGCACGCTAATCTATATTAAAACCTCACCCATGTATTTGCTTCTACCAGAAGACAAATTTCCCAATTTCGTTTGAAAATTGATGAGAAAGTTCCGATGATCTAATTACAGATACGTGGATTAGCCACAAAATAAAATGACTGCACGCACACATGCGTCAACATTTGGTAAAATGATAACCAGCTCCAGGCCCTATTAAGTGATGTCTCATTGCCAACATGTCGATAACTTTACGGTCTGCGCAAATTTTCGCTTAAATAATTTTTAACTTAGACGTGACTGAAGACATTAAGCTGGTGTACACGTCTTGGGCACGAATTAAACAGTTCGCAACTGAAACACATTTGCATCAGCCTACATGGCTTTGTTGTTATCAGTGTCCAGAAATTTGTGTTCAACGCGTGGCCAACTGAAAAGGAACAACTGTCATTTGCGATCAAAATTAACATACCTCGTCAAGCACGCCGATCGCCTTGGGGCTTTGCACAATTACCGACCACGCAAGCATTTATAAGCCAACCAATGACAGGCGTCCATACACGGCCACAACGTCCAACACGGGTTTGCACGGCATCCCTAGCGATTAGCTTTATGGGGAAATAAGTAAAGAAAATAAATTCAAGATTCGTTTCACTGTACGATTGGAATTTTACGGGACACGCAGGCCGTTATGCGCTCTTCCGGAGCGGGACATCAGATCGGAGCAATGAAGTATCAGGAGAGTTAGGTTCAAACACCCGACAAAATGTGGATCAAGTTCGCGGGATCACCTAAAGCAATCAGACGCCTTGTAGACGAAGTGGTGGTAGCATATGCCACGTTAAAAGACGGATTGACGAAAATTTTTGATTCGAGCAGCGTTGCTGCACAATTAGCTTATATTCACTTAAATGAAGCATGACAGTAGAACGGAAGGACGACATTACTGGAACCGTTGGTGCAATGCAAACGTTCGTCTAACCTTCTCACAGAGCAGCCCTACGGGTGATTAAACGCGTATTTATCGTTATGATTAGGAAATAAAGCCTCATTAGTTCTAAGGACGGGAACAGTATTATGCAAAGCCAAAATACCAAAGCAGGTGCTATTTAATCCAAGGGCAAGGTTCTTAACGCTTTACTTTACTCCAGGAAGCTAAGCGATCAATCAGCTTTTAAACTTTGAGTTCCTGTGTCGAATAAGATGGTTAGTGAGGCAGACGAAGGAGGATCGATTCGGGATGTTGTACCGTAACAATGTTCCAGCGTGTTGCCCCCTTTCTCTTGAGCTACAATAAGGAAAGGTCGTCATGGGGTTCAAACCACGCTACGTAGATCCTCCCCTTTCCTTAAGTAGAGGCGTCAAATAAACAAACATTGTCAGCATCTTCTGTAATGGCCTATAGAATGAGCTCTAGGGGTGGAAGGGAAGGTTGGGTAGAATGTGAAGACCATTTCTGAACGAATACCGAAA